GTATCAGAGCCGTAAATTAGACAAACGTCTGTATCAATGGCAACAAATTCAATAAGTACTTCTCCTTCATCCTTTTCTTCTTCATCTTCAACTACTATAAACACAGTCTCATCTCAGTCTCCTATCTACCTTCTGTCAAACATTTGTAACCTGATATCTCTTCGTCTAGATTCTACAAATTATGTGTCATGGAGATTTCAAATCTATGCACTGTTACGTGCTCATTCTCTTTTCAATTTTCTTTATGGATCAAATCCATGTCTAGTGCAATTTCTTTCTAATGGAAATGGTATAGCTACTACCGAAATCAATCCACAATATCAATAGTGGATTGTCCAAGATCAAGCACTAATGACACTAATAAATGCTACTCTCTCACAGTCAGCTATTACACATGTTATAGGATACACAACTTCCCGAGAAGTTTGGCTAGCTTTGGAAAGAAGGTGTTCTTCTTTATCTCGAGCAAATATTTTATAGCTTAAGATTGTTTTGCAAACAATTACGAAAGGAACAGAATACATAGATGAGTATTTGCAGAAAATAAAGGAGTCTCGAGATAAGCTTGCAGCAGTTTCAGTTCTGGTAGAAGATGAAGGTCTGCATATATACACCTTGAATGGATTGTCAGCTGAGTACAGTGCCTTCCGAACTACAATTCGAACCAGATCACAACCACTTTCTTTGGAAGATCTTCACTCTCTTCTTAAGGCTAAAGAGCTATCCATCAAAGCCAACTCAAAGTCACAAGTGAATTATTTCAATCCTACTGCCATGATAGCACCACAAATCAGATAGCCCTTTTATAACAACAATGGTAGAAACTACTCAAGTCAAGGAAGAGGAAACAGAGGTCGTAATGGTAACAGAGGAGGCAGAAATCAGAATGGTTACAATAACAGATTCAACACACAGCAGCAGAGGTCTAACTCAAATCAATACAACCAAAACAGATCTCCACCAGTTACTTGTCAGATTTGTAACAAAATTGGTCATAATGCTGCAATTTATTATCATCGCATGAATACTGCTTATCAGGGCCAAAATCATCAATCCTCAGCTTCATTCAATGCTATGACTGCTACCTCAGACTATTCTTCTAATCAGCAGTTCAATCCCAATGACTGTACACCTGAATTTTCACCCTACACTGCTATGGCTGCTACATCTGGTCAACAGAGTTCAAATTTTTGGCTTACTGATACTGGCACTTCCCATCATATCACTTCAAGCATTGCAGATCTGTCTCTTGCCTCTCCTTATTTTGGTGAAGGCAAAGTGTCTATTGGAAATGGACATGAGTTACCTATCACTCATACAGGTTTATCTCTTCTTCAAACTCCTTCTCACTGTTCCAAACTTAACAAAGTCCTTCGAGTACCTTCAATTGCTACAAATCGCATCTCTGTCAAACAACTATGTCTTGATAATAATTGTCAATTCATATTTGATGCTACTTCTTTTGTCATTCAGGACAAAGCCACAGGGCAAGTCCTCTACAAAGGTCAGAGTAGCAATGACTTGTATCCCATCAATGCTCTCACCAATTTCAACTCCTCTCCTACTGCATATCTTGGTACAAGGATCATTGATCAGTCTTGGCATGATCGCCTTGGAGATCTATCTACTTATGTTCAGCAAAAGATTCTTTCTCAGCTGAATCTACCTACTTCTTCTACTAAATCTACTTCATATAATTGTGAGCACCGTCTATATGGGAAGATGTCTAAGCTTCCTTTTTCTCTTTCTAAATCTTTTTCTATGTCTCCTTTACAGATTGTACACAGTGATATTTGGGGGACTGCACCTCAAGTTTCACTTCACGGTTTTAGATATTACATCTCATTTGTTGATGATTGTACCCAATTTACATGGATTTTTTCATTAGTAAATAAATCTGATGCCTTTGTTGTCTTTGCCAAGTTCAAGCCTTATGTTGAGAATCAATTTTCTCATAAATTGAAAGTGTTTCACTCTGATGGTGGTGGTGAATATATTGGTCATCAGCTTCAGCACTATCTAAGTTAGTATGGTGTTCATCACATAAAATCCTGTCCTCACACCCCTCAGCAAAATGGCATTCCTGAGAGGAAGCACAGGCATATTACTGAAACTACTTTTTCTCTCTTGTCTAAAGCATCTTTGCCTCCATCCTTCTGGTTTCATGCATTTGCTGCAGCCACTTATCTCATCAATAGAATGCCTAGTCAAACTACAATATCCAAGTCACCTTTTGAACTTCTCTATCACACCAAACCAGATTATTCAACTCTTAAAATCTTTGGATGTGCATGTTATCCTCTTCTCAAACCTTATAACAGACATAAACTTCAACCTAAAACAACCCAATGCATTTTCTTAAGTTATCCTTTTGATTACAAAGGTTACCTCTGCTATGGTCCTAAATCTACCAAGATCTTTATCTCCAGACATGTAATATTTGATGAAACNAAGTTATCCTTTTGATTACAAAGGTTACCTCTGCTATGATCCTAAATCTACCAAGATCTTTATCTCCAGACATGTAATATTTGATGAAACATTGTTTCCCTTTTCTAATTCTGTTCACTTTCCACAATTTACTCCTCCTAATTTTGATCACTGGTTGCCTTCTTCTTCTAATGACACATCCTCATCTCCAACCTCAGTGTTGGGACCACATCCTTCTACTCATCCTTCCCCTATCCAGCATGATGTATCTCCTTTTCTTCTTAATCGTTTATCTTCAGTCCTCTCAGTCTTCAAGTTCAATTCCACCATCTTCTCGTTCAAATGTCGTATTACTACATCACAGAGTCATGTACTCACAGAGTCTTCAGTGTCTATACCTCCAGTTTTACCTCCATTAGCCACAATTCCTTCTACTCATCCCATGACAACAAGATCCAAGTCTGGTATTTTCAAACCAAAGGTCTACTCAGCTACTACAACTTTGGCTGAACCTACCTCCTTTACCTCAGCATCCAAGTCTCCTGAATGGAGACAGGCTATGTCCGAAGAGTTTTCTGCACTGTAGCAGCAAGGTACCTAGTCCTTGGTTCCACTNTTTTCTGCACTGTAGCAGCAAGGTACCTAGTCCTTGGTTCCACTATCTCCTCATCAGAATCTTATTGGTTGTAAATGGGTCTATCGCATTAAACAAAATTCTGATGGTTCAATCTTTGGATACAAAGCAAGACTTGTTGCTAAAGGCTTTCATCAAGAACCTGGCATTGATTACAGTGAAACTTTTAGTCCTGTGGTGAAACATGTCACTGTCAAACTCATTCTTGCTCTTTCTACAAATTTTAATTGGCCTCTCCACCAGTTGGATGTCAAGAATGTCTTTTTACATGGTTCTCTTCATGAGAATGTCTATATGACCCAGCCCCCAGGTTTCCTTGATCCTCTTACTCCTCATTATGTTTGCAAACTTCACAAATCTCTTTATAGTCTCAAACAGGCTCCTAGAGTCTGGTTTGAGAAATTCACTACTCATCTTCACACTTATTCTTTTCATGCTTCTCTAGCTGATCTATCTTTATTCATTAGATCTATTTCAGGTTCTCTCACCATCTTACTTCTTTATGTGGATGATATTATCATCACTGGTAATGATTTCACATACATTCAAACTCTTAAGTCCAATCTTAATAAATCTTTTGAGATGAAAGACTTAGGTCCTCTTCATTACTTTCTTGGAATACAAGTTCAATCCACCTCTACAGGAATTTTTCTTACTCAGCAGAAATATGTTACTGATTTGCTTCATAAAGCCAAGATGGTTGATTGTAAGCCTTGCAAAACACCTTCTGCAGCCTCCTCTAGACTTAGCAAGACTGTTGGTGTTCTTCTACCAGATCCCTCGTTGTATAGAAGTCTAGTGGGCTCCTTACAGTATCTTACATTCATTAGACCAGATATCACTTATGTTGTTAATCATGTTTGTCAATATATGAGTCAGCCTACAGACATTCATTTTGCTGCAGTCAAACGTATTCTTAGGTATTTTAAAGGAACAAGTGCCTTTGGTCTTCTCTATCAACCTAGTTCTCTTAGTCTTTCAACATTTTTCGACGCTAATTGGGTAGGAGATCCTAATGATCGCAGATCTACAATAGGTTTTCTTCTGTATCTGAGTGATAATCCTATTCACTGGTCCACTAAGAAGCAGCAGACTGTCTCCAAATAATCCACAGAACCAGAATTCTGAGCATTTGCTCATACTACAACTGAGGTTATTTGGGTACAGAAACTGCTATAGAGTCTTCATATTCAACCTTCCTCTCCTCCCAAGCTTTGGTGTGACAATATTTTCGCTTTGGCTCTTGCCTCAAATCCAATGTTTCATACCAGAACCAAACACATAGAGATTGATTTTCACTTTATTCGTGAGAGGGTAGCTTAGAAATCTCTTTCAGTCCATTATATCTCTACCAAGGATCAACTAGCTGATATTTTCACCAAAAGTCTTCCCACAGCTAGATTTTTGATGCTCAGAGACAAAATTATGGTTGTTCCCCCCCCCCCATAATTTTGAGGGGGTGTATTAACCAATTGAGCTTCCTCACTATTAGTTATAATGAACCTCAGCACACTCCAGCAGCTCAACCAAATCTAGCTGATCAACACATGTGAAACTGTTGTAACTAACTCCTGTCCAGCTCAGCAAGATCTGTAACAGAATTGACAGTTTGTTAGTCTAAGAATTGTGTATAAATACAACATCATGTATAGAGTAAGTCGTAATGAAAAATAAATCAGCAATGAAAGTTCTCTGTCTTCATCTTCTTCATCTTTCTGAAATTGTGTATTTCAACATTATATACCAATAGATAGCTAGAGTTTTCTCTTTATTTAACCGAAGCAGTTACTATGTTCGCGTACAATCAATACTAAACTGTCTTAACATTTTTTTGATGTGATGTGCTTGGTTTAGTTGTTTGCATTTTTATATACTATATGGTATTAGTTGTTGGGCAATCCTACTTTAACATATATTGCTATATCTCGAACTTTAGGGGTTATGTACTGATTAACTATCCTCATGTGTTCCCCGGGTACCTTAAGTATTTGACAAAGAAGTACTTGAAGAACAACAACGTGAGGAATCGGCTTCGCCTAATTGCTTCCAGCGAAGATAGTAATGTTTATGAGCTGCACTACTTCAACATTGCCAAGAATGAGGGAGGAAGAAGATGACTAAAGATCAAGTTCACAGTTTGTCTCACATTACTTAGTGTTGGCATTCACTCTAAGAACCATTGTTTCCCTGTTCAACTTTATGAACATTTAATCCAGTTGTTCCCCATTTGTTTTCTATTGTAATTTTATTAATGATATTTATCTATATCTTCAAATGGTCCACATGCAACGCACGTGTGCACCAACTAATAATAATAAAAGTATAATGCTATTTAGGTCTAATTTAATGAGATAATTTATTATAACTACTGTAGGTGGGGAGTTAAAAGAGGTTGACACGCGTGCAGATGCCAAGAGTAATTGAAGGAGGTGAGTAAAATAAGTGAATGGGATAGAAGGAACTCGAGCATGTTAACGAATGAATGAACCAGTTGGGCAGAGGGTAGGTAAAATATTCTCTCATCAGCCAAAAAATCATCTCCCCGCAGAGGGCAAGTAATTGGGGTATTTATAGCACAGTGCTCGAGCAAGTCGGGATGTCCAAAGAGCTGCCCGCTGCGAACCCCTACCACTCGTGCTAACCCACAACTGCCTCGACAGTGAGGATACCAATGGCTGTTAACAGCGAGTCATGTGTCCCAACATTAACTAGACAAATGTGATGTTTTCCCAAACGCAACCTGGACGTGGCTCCGAGGAAGGTGTGACAGTCAAGGTGAGAAAGGGCTCCCTGGGTCCATAACCGCGACTGGTCACCACGGGACTATGCTCGCAATGCCCCCAACGCGCTCCTACCCAGGGTCTTTCTTTCCATCTCTAGACCTTTTTATCCTTTAGCCACCAATCCACATGTCTCATCATCTCATATGCTGTTCCGAACCAATAACCCCACTTACCTTTGGAGTCTCTCCAGATCCCAGTCAAGCACATCTTAGTGGGCCCATACACTAGGAGGCCTGCTCAAACAAACTAAACCTTCTAGACCCTGCCCCAGGCCGAGGTTGACAATTATGCTCATCCGCCCCTATTGCTCAATTCTCTCTTAGTCCCCTGTCCCTAAGTGGGGACACCTCTTAGTCCAATGGGTCAGTCAAGCAACGACATTCAATAAGTTGAGGATACTATTCCTATAGTGGGGGAGACGAGTCTCGCCGAGGTTGCTCCCACACTTCTGTGATTCCATTTCTGTCCAACCTTGGTGAAGGTCCATTTTCCCATTTCCAATGCGGTAGAGATGTATTTCTCCCTAATGCGGTATTGTGCTTAAGGGCGTCACGCACAGGGGGAGTCGCACCTTAGGTGCCGCACAGGAGTGTCATGGCTTGGGCTTCACACATGACATTGTTATCTACACTAGTCTAGTTGACGCTGTCAGGCCCCATTTTCATATTGACTGATAATTATTGTCACTTGTCCTGTTATGATGAAGACATGTGTCTTGAAGTTTTTGTCGTGGTTGACTCCATTCTACGATTCTATTTCTGTCCAACCTTGGTAAAAGGTTCATTTTGGCACTTTCAATGCAATAGAGATGTATTTCGCTCTGATGTAGTATTGTGCTTGAGGGCATCGCGACCAATATTAAATTAAATGTGAGTTTTATCAAACATTTGAATTTATTATTAATTCAACAATTAAAATGAATATTCGGTGAATAGATTATGTCAATTTTTTAGAAGTATTTACTCATTGGAAAAACTTCAATTATACTCTTTCTAGTTTATCATTTCTCTAAGAATACCCTTTTTATTTTCTGAATTTTCACTAACACTCCTTGTCAGATTAATTGTATTAATTAGAATACAATTTTACTAAATTGTTCGATGATATATTCGAGAAAAAATTTCATTTACATGTCCTCTAGATTGACATATCTTCAATGAGACTTCATTTACTTTCTAAATTTTTTTGTATTAAAATTTAGACCAATTAAAATTTAATTTGAGTTAATTAAAAATTATTTTTTACGTATTAAAATTCGAGTTGAATAATAATTATATTTTTTTACGTATTAAAATTTGAGCTGATTAAAAACTAGTTTAAATCAAATTTTAATCAACTCGCATTGAATTTTAATTGACCCAAAATTTGATACATAAATTTTAATTGACTCGAAGCAAATTTTAATTAACACTAATAGTTAGAGTGGAGTTCAAATCGATTCGAATTTTAATACGTAAAAATATTAAAATTTAATTAGTTCAAATCAAATTTTAATATGTAGAAAAATAAATTATAATCAGCTCGAATTTTAATATGTAGAAAAATAATTTTTAATTAGTTTGAATTTTCATCTAATTTTATAAAGAAAGATTGTTTGGGGTTTATGTAGGAGTATTTTTTATATTTAGATAAAAAAAAAATTGTTAAAAATAGTGGTTTAATGACAGAGGGTGTCAATGATGTTTAAATATAAATTAGAAGTAGTGTCAATGATATTTTTTATAATAAAAAGATGTTCTTAAAAATATAATAAATTAGAAAGAATATGATTAAAATTTTTCCTTATTTAATACTCCGAAAAAGTATTTGCTTACCGTTACGTCTTCTGATCATGAAAATTTTCCGAACTTTAGACAGCAACTAATATTCGAAGGCTTCGTCGTTCCCACTGCTCAAAGAAAGAGAGACAGATTGAGAGAGAGTGAGATAGACCTGATGGCAGGTTTGCAGAGATCTGCAGTATCATTCAGGAGGCAAGGCTCATCAGGATTCGTATGGGACGACAAGCTATTGTCTGGTGAATTGAATCAACTCGCGAACCCAAAAGAATACGCTATCAATGACAAATCCCAACAACAGGACCAACAGACCATACAAGAGGTGAGGCCCTCATCAAGAACCGTAGTATCGATTGAACGGAGTC